AGAAGAAGAAGAAGAAGAAGAAGAAGAAGAAGAAGAAGAAGAAGAAGAAGAAGAAGAAGAAGAAGAAGAAGAAGAAGAAGAAGAAGAAGAGCATTTGTATCCCGCCTTTCCCTCCACAACATGGGCCACAGGCGTACATTTTGACAGCAACAGTTCTTTAGGTCATTAGGGTCAAGGCCAGGCTTTTTAATCAGAGGTGAGATAGATGCTGTTTTGAAGCATCGTGGAACTGTACCCTCACTATTGATAATCAACCAGTTGTCAAGGAAGTACACGTATTTACTTTTGACCCAAAGCATCCAAATTTATAATTCATCAATGTCTACCAACTGAAATGAATTTGTTCATTATGCTGAAAATTATATTGTCTCAGTTAACAACAGGAGGAAGAAAAACAAACAGAACACTGGATAATGATTAAACAAAAGTTGTTCTGACAGGCAGCAAAGAGTCTATAAATGAGGTTGACAACCTTCTCATGAAAATTGAAGATGTAGAAATTGCATTTTGTTTGTTTAGGTAAGTGTTTTACTACTCTTGCAACTTTTGTAGGTTATATGAGCGCTCGGGACACATTATATGTTTTCAGTTTAGAATGAACTTTGAATTTTGTCCGGGTGGTGGCCGAAGCCAACTCTTATCGATTTTGGATCATCAAGGGATCTTTAACGTGCGCAACTTGCACACGGGACTCCAAATTTTCCTCCCTGGTTCGAGAAGGCTCCGTATTAGATCTTTCTTACCATAAGAACAGGGGTGTGGCTGAAGGGCAGTAGTAAAAAAGAGCCAAGGAGCAGCAGTAGAAAGGCTGCAGAAAGAGCCAGGAGCCCAGAGGAGGGGGCAAAGAGGAAGTGAGGAGAACGGAAAGTGGAGACGAAAAATGACGACAGAACATGGTTAGAGGGCTGGAAAGGAGTTGAAAAGAGAGAATTTTAGAGAAGAAAATGCTCCTTCGCTTATTATCATTATTATTATTATCCAGCAGTAGGAACAGTAGTAGTAGTAGTAGTAGTAGTAGTAGTAGTAGTAGTAGTAGTAGTAGTAGTAGTAGTAGTAGTAGTAGTAGCA